TAATTTTCGATAAGATTATACAGAATGAAAACTTACGGGGAAACGGAACGTTTGATATTTCACCATGGAAAAACTTACAGTAGAATCTCGCCTATAGAACGAAGGTTCGATTGAAAAGAAATATTTATTTTCTTATAGACAGATATAGTTGCGTAAACTTTTATACCCAATATTTTCATCCATCTTTTTTACACGATTTACACACAGAGCTTTTTTATTCGTTAGTTTATATTCACCAACTGATAGAAATTCCGTGTTCATTCCTGTCGCATTTTTAATTCTTGCAAGAAAATCTTAACGCGCCTATCGAACAGTCTATTATCCTGCATTTATACGTGAAACACGGTCGCATTTCGCTCTGTAGCTCCGTTCCACCGAGGGTTTTCCCATAGATATATATATTTATGCATAAATATCTTGTGAAACGCGTTATTCGTCGTTGCAGAAGCGATGCTACGCAAGAAACGGGTTCGAGTCTTCTTTGTGCCTCTGTGGGTGCAGTGACACGTGGAAAGTTGGCGAACGATGATCGAAGTGCAATTACAAAGAAACAAAAAAGAGAAAAGAAAACGAAAGAAAGAAAATATTATTTTTCGTTACAGCAAAACGTCCAAGATCTCTTTGGGCAGATAATAACTTAAAAAAAAAAAGAAGTGGATTCGAATTTCACGTGTCACTGCGCCCTTATCGTTCCTTCTAATCGATCAATTTCAAGGAGAAAAATTGATCTCAATTTCTATCCATTCGAAATTCCTCGAAATGTTGTATTGCTAATTCACATTCCTTTCGATGTAAAAAGGGGCCTAACCGATATTTTCCGAAACATCAATTTCACCGTACACACACACACACACACACAGAGATGTATTTATTTACGCTAAATTTACGCAACATCCACGGATTCCCTTTTTCTCAATGGACTCTGCAACGTCCACAGATAGATAGAGTTAATGAACATTTCGCTCGAAAGAACGGTATTTCTTCTTCGGGGAACAAAAATCGACGCCAGAAATCACTCTCTCTCTCGACGAAAGCACGTCGCACTCGCGAATTCAATTGTCGATCCCCGTGTTGTTCACACTGGACGTGAAAGAAAGACAGCTTCTAGTCCCGTGATTACTCGCGTGCTCGACGATATAAAACTAGTTGCTGGATATATTGACAGATTACTAACCGTTACGTATCAAAATATATCGTGTATGTTACACATGATGAAAAGAAGAAAAAAAAAAAATAACACGAGTTATGAGAACATGCACACACATATTAAAAGGATTAAAAACAAAAAAGAAAAGATAGAAAGAAACTATCGCGAGCAGCCACAAGTGGTATTATTGTAATGTTATTGTACAGATATACATACACGCATACATACATACTTATACATATAAGTATACATAATACACACACATATATATATATATTATATATACATATGTCTATTGATCACCTTATGCACCGTAATGTCAGAATTAAATAGACCATACGTTGAGGTTACAAAGATAATTGTAATTATGATTCTAATTATTATTATTATGATTAACGGCGTTGTTGTATTGTATATTGTATAAGTTAAAGATAATAACGTTATTCGTTTCGGTAGCGCGTCATAATGTTTCGTGTTCGGTAGATTATGAAACTTTTTATTTTCGTAAAAAAGAAAAAAAAGAACTTGTATATTTTAGCGTCGTTTCTTTCAACAAAGATTGTTCTTGTTACGAGTATTAAGGAAGCGATAGAATTATAAGTAGATGTATACCGAGCCTCGCGCGTCCGAGGTTTATAGCGTTGCGCTATAAAAAAAAGAAAAAAAAAAAACACTGGGCATATCAAGCTAGTAGAGAAACGTACACAGAGAAGTGTCGTTTTTTCCAGTGTGTCCAGATTTTTTCAATGTTCGTCGAGACAGTATTCTAGGGGTTCCACCCTTCGAAATCAATCGTATTCCTATTTTTGTATATTACTTTCCTTGTCGTACGAGTACGGAAATATTTAATATATATATCCAGTTTGCCGTATATAAGTTTCTTCGATATACGTATTTAACAACCCGTTCAAACTATTTAAGACTTGACTTCTTTAAAACCACTTAGAAAACAAAAGGTTCTTGCGGAATACCGAACATTCCAGTTTTCTCTCGTTTCAAACGCACGGACATACTTTAAATGCGTAGATAAAAACGAAGAAAAAAAAAAAAAAGCGTTGTTTTGTATTTAAAGAAGGAAGAAGAAAAACAAAAAAGAAACCAAAAGAGGCATTTAAGATCGTTAATGGTGATGATCTCTGATTGGGTGGAATCTTTGTTACAAATGTTACACAACGAAAGGCGATGATAAAGGTTTACAAAACGAGTCTTTACGATTTCCCATTTGATGTTCCTTTACACGCTCGTACTGTCAATTAAAAACCGATTCTTTCGTTCTAAAAGGAAAAAAGAAGAGAGAGAAAAAAAAAAGAAAGAAAACAACCAAAATATCTTCGTACACATTCAGTTTGACTTTATATTGTGTGTGATTTATAACGATACACATCCGTTGCGGTATTGAGCCTAAAAAAAATAAGCAAGTCCTCGAGAACAAACCCTCGGCTTTCGTGACTAGATCCGATGGAAATAGCGATAACGATGTTTATCAATGTCACCATTACACCTTTTAGAGGCCGATAACATACAAAGAAACAAGAAAATCTCGTTCGTTCTCTTGTGAGCATAGAACAATATTGTTACTGTATCTAGGAATTAATCGTTCATCGAGAAGCGAATTTGAACGTGACTGCGACAAAGTGGATAGTTAGCCGAAACAATCATTAGTAACTTCTAACGCAAAGCAATTCGCATACTCTCTCTCTCTCTCTTTCAAACTCTCAAGAAGAACCAATTTATCCGAATTTTACGAAAAAAAAATTCTTATTTTACCGTATCTAATATCCAGATTTTTTTACTATCGATCAAATTCGAAGATCAAGTTGCGTTCAGATCGCTTCGCGATCCAGAGAGAGGAAGAGAAGAGAACAAATCGCGCGGGAAGAAAACGCGAGTGGTGAACACGTTGTTGAGCGAAGTTTCGTGGCTGCGACGCGCATCTTATTCACGTGACAGATTACTGTTGTACATGCTTCCATCTAAAAAAGCCTTAAATATAACGAAGTTCTCTAGTTAATTATTACCATGCGCGTAAGACCGAGTGAAAAAAAGCGTGACTGTGTTGTACATCGCAGGCCGAGTATAGACATAAATTTGCACGTATTACAAGCGTGTAAAAAATCGGGAGAGACACGGCGATACGAACCGGAAGAGAAGAATGTGTAATTAATAAAGGTTAATGGAAACACGATTTGCAGCTGGATTCGTCGCCGACGTTATTTTCACAATATTAATTGTCCACTTCGACAATTTAAGTAACTCTCATGCGTCATCAATGGATAACCCTTGATAAGAATGGCACGAAAAATTGCAAAAATAGAGTGTCCAATGTTTCCTGGCGAAAATATTAACCCTTTCACTGCTGTCGCTCTTTAAAATTTTCCTCGCATCGGTGCACTTCTATCGTAATTTAATCCGTAACTTTTTACCTCTGTCCACTTCCACTAAATTTAATGTCAGACAAATTTCAAAACAATGCGGCCGAAACGAAAGATTTTGCGGTCGCTATATTGAAATCTGCCGCAGCGAATGGGTTAACAGAGCTTTCCGTTAGCTTCTACATCCCTGATCTTGATAAAAACATTTTCTTTCTACGCTCCACGACGTTCGTTACATGAAATCGTCAATGTTTGCCCTCCAGCGTTTGTTACAATGAGAAATTCGTAAACGAGGCAGGCAAAAGAAGATCATACACGAAGTTACTTAGCCAATGATTCTACACAAATTGTGCTCCTTACCTATATACACAAGGTGGAGAAAAAAGAAACTTTGTCCACTTATTTGCAATAATCTGGAAAAATTTGCATGATACGGAGGGGGATATAATGAGATGTAAATACTTTTCACGTAGATAGAGGTGTAGAGGAGAATTCTGGATCACCTCAATTTTCTCAAATGGAATACTAATTTTTTTTTCTATTGCTGTGTGATAGCTGCTGTTCTGGCTATTTCAGCATGCTATCATTAAAGGACCAGAAACGCATTTCCGCGAGGGATACTATTATCCGTCCAAATTCTAAAGCTAAATACTATTCTACTTGTTGTAATATTTACGTTCCATGTTATCATTCGACCGTTTTTGATTGTCTATCATCAACTTGATATATTTTTTTACGTGTTCCTCTAATTCCCTTCTGATTCCGCCTGATTTCATGTACCGTTTCGTGTAAAGTAACAAGCCTAACGTTATTTCTAACAGAGAATGTGTAAGATTATCCTAATTGTCGCACGTTCAACGTTATTAATTTTTTTTTTTTTTTTATTAAACCACTACCTTTTTAATATCTCCTCAAAAGCATCCAGGATTTTACCTCGCATTCGATTCACTTATATCTATCTGTATCCAAAGGACGTTTGAAAAGACGCAATTAAAATTGAGGTCGAATCGAAGATAACGAGCGGTTTGTAAATTTAAAGAGGTACAATGGAAACGATCATGAGAGATTGTAGAATGAATGTTCGTCTTATACGTTCATTTCTGCATGCATTTTTTCGCTATTGCTTCAGCATGTTGTGCAAATCTTCAATCATTTGTTCTTTCTCTGCCAAATCATCATCCCATTCGCGTTGCTTCAGTTGTATCGTTTATTTATTTATTTATAAACGTAACTTATTTGTGTACTTCACATTACACAATCATCCATTGCGTACTTTCATCGTTATTATTTATATCTGTCTGTATTAGAAATAGTAAATGTGTTTGATGTATCTTATGCTCTGACATATACATGTATATATATATATATTCTACAATTGCTATTACTTTTCTCATCACCACCAGTCTTTATACCACACAAATATCTGTTCTATTCTCCACATAAAGTATGTTCATTCGCACATCATTGCTTAGTACAGTAAATGTCCAATTAAATTTGTCGAAATGAAGTTCTACAAAAATTCTAAAGTCCAGGAAATTTAATTGGTCATCGGAAAGTTCATGAAACCCTTCAAATACGAAAAAAAAAGAAGCATTACAATTTGCTATCAGATTTTCACATTTTTGGCATACATAATTCACATGGCATGAAAGATCAGAAAGGGTAGGCTTAAATATTCCTATTTGCTTTTAAGAATGGTAGTAGTAAGAGAGATTAAGGATATGTGTTTGAAATATTTTTGATATACAAGTTACGACTCTTTTTACTTCAATATTTTTTTTCTTATCTATCCTTCTCTATTATACCCTAACGAATTAAAAATACGACAAATTAACGATTCTACTTTAGAAAAATAGAAAATGCAATTTTATCGGTTAATTCTCCAATTCTAAAAGAAAAAAAAATAGAAAGGAAAGTCTAACGAGTGCGTGTGACACGAAGAAATTGCGGATAATTTTACTTATAGCATATAATTTGATTTTGTAAATGTAAGTATAAAACGACGAGTTTATTTTTAATCAGAGATAAGGTGCAACGTTTAAAATACACCTCAGAAAGAGAACAAAATTCTTCATTTTCTAATAAGCTGTCACGGAACCTCCTACACATTTCTCGCAAATTAAACACTCCTATTCAATTAAATACAACCTCTGACATCGGCATAACTCTCTTAAGACATAGACCTTTTAGATAGCCTTACTATCATCAGGAGGTTCTTTTTCCTCTTTCTCTATCACTTTCCTCATTTCCACCAGCATTAATCGCCATGAAGTTATTGTCGCTTTCACAAGATTTAAATATCGTACAGCCTTGACAATAGGTAAAGTTTGGCAATTCTTTTCATAGCTAGCTACTAAATGAAAAGATATTTTCAGAGAATATAAATATAACTTTCATCATTTTTCTCCAATTTTTGGAAAGCAAAAATCTTACAAAACCGAAGAATTTACCGCTAAACCTCTTCCGCAAGAACGTCCATAACTGCCCGCCATTTTGTATCATTTTTACTTTTCAAAAATCGGAGAGAAAAGCTGAAAGTGACATTTACATCGCTTGACAAAATTAAAACTTTTCATTCAGTATTTACCTGTGAAAAAAATTCCCAGACTTTGCATATTTCCAGGGTACCGCTGTATATCCCCTAAAAAATCGAGATTTCTATTCCTCATAGTAAAAATCGCTTTTCTCCATTCTCTACCATTCGCATTTGAAGGGTGAAAATCTTACACGTTCACGTTGACACACAATCACAATCGCTTTACTAGTTTAAAGCAAGGTACACACACACACTCAAAAAAAAAAAAAAAAAAAAAAAAAAAAATCGTCGCGTCTTGAACGCGTTGCTAGGAGAAAAGGAGCACCGAGTACTTAATCACTGTCTGTGTTATAGGCGTCCCGTACCCAATATTCCTCCCCGAATTCCCGACAGACCGTACTACGGCCGATTAAACTGAGCTAGTCCATGGAAAGCACACGACACCTGTGCACATCCACGCCCGAGAGAGTATTCGAAGAGAGTTTCGTTCTGAAACGAGCCGATGACTTGGACATGAAAACGAGTTCAGGACGGAGAGAGCTGGTGAGGCGGTCACCCAACGAAATAGTAAAATGTGGGTTGAAGGGTGAGAAAAAGAAAGAGAATCCGGGGGTGAGAAAACCTCTCCAGGAGTAGAACGCGTCCTTTCTAAGATCTGTGCCTTCCTTTAACAAAAAAAATCTCCGCAAACGCACAAATTCCTGTCGTCTTCTTCGCTTCCACGAGAAGAGAAACATGGAGAAAAAAAAAAGAAGAAAGGGTATCGGAGGGACGCGATCGATGATGGAGCAGGAGGAACAAGGCTGTGCCCAAAAAATAAAACAAAACTAAAGAGAAAGAGGGACCAAAAAAAACGAACAAAATCAGGCCCAGCAAACACACGCAAAAGGAAGATGGTGGTCTGCTAGAGACTGTTTATTACTCGATGGTTCAACAGCCGGAGAATCGTATCGGTCACACACAACTTCTACTTCTTTCTCTGATATTTCGTCTTCTATATTATTTATAATACCGTTAGACGCGTTAGGTTAGAGACGTGTTAGCTGCTAAGTATTAAAAGCAAGAAAAAAAAAAAGAAGAAAAGTCGACGCGCTCGATGCGCGATGACGAACGCTGAAAGAACGATTATTAGCTCGTATTAATTTAGAGAAAAAGAAAAAAAAAAGAGTCTTCTGGACAAGAAGCGATGCCATTTGTCCTCTTTTCTCATTAGCGATTTTGTCTTACATTAAACCGGTTATCAGTATTATAGATAAGAACGGAAATCGACGTGTGTATGTTCAAGTCACTGTTAATCTATCATATTTTCACGTCGATCGAGATCTTTCTCCGAGATACAGCGCGCGTTGCATACACCTCCTATACAACATTTTCGAAGGAAGACCGCGGATATGGAAATTATTGTCACCCGGTGTTCTCGCTTCTTGTCGGAAGACTCTCCGCGCGACCAAGGTATTTGTTCAAATGAGATTTCATGGACGACGTGTAACGTGCAACCCGATTACCTCGATTTTTAGGACTTAATTTATTAGAGCCTAAAAAAAAAAAAACGAAGAAAATAAACACACACGGTTCACTCTTATCACTCATGTAACCGGCGGGTGAACGGAATACGAGATGATATTCGATCGACGACAGCATTCCAGAAAAACGCTTGTGTGTAAAAATCTTTCGAGAGAAAAGAAGAAAAAACAAAAAGAGACAAAAATAACGAAATAGAGAACGGGAGAAACTCTACGTATAGTACTAAACGCAACAGTCCTTTTTATACGGTTAATTTATTATTGAAGTATGATCACACGATGCCATTTTACAGCTCGAGTTTAGCAAACGATATAATACGAACAACGAACTACTACGGAAATTGTCTAATCTAATTATTGCTTCGCGATTAAAAAACGCGTATATACAAACGCAAAAAATTGTATGTATGGTAAACACGCGAAATTTCCTCGTCGATGTGAATGTACGTGTACCCGATTACGTTGATTTTTAACTATTTTTACGGTTATTTTCGCATCTTAAACGTGTTAGCTGTTGTGATAGACGCTTTTTTTTTTTTTTGTTTAGGGGGACACGACGGGATTAGCCAAAGTTTGCGTCTGTCTCTCGTAAAATGATAATTACTTCGACACAAAGAGGCCAATGTGTTATGTAAAAAAAAAAAAAAAAAGGAGGAGAAGCGAACAATTGTACATACGAAATCAAATACGAGTATAGTATTACGTGTCGATGTTTACTACGTGCTAGGGAGGGAGAATTTTCTTTTCGTTTTTCTCTCTTTTTTTTTGTTTTTGTATTAAACCAAACTTCACGCGTCGATAGCCAATCCGCTATAATACACGACACCGACTGACAACTAATGTACCTAGAACATACGACAAATCAAATAAATGATATTTAATACAAGCTCAGAGATGATACTGATTGACACACCCAGAACATTTGAATCGTCTGATTGCGAACTGTTCTTGTTCCCTGTTCGATCTCTAAACGTACGTAAATTTTCTTGGTTATTTCATACGGAAGAATTAAGTTTCCTATTAATATGAAATTTAGTGGATATTTATGCTAGCATTCAAATATGTTCGGAAAAAAATATTTAACAATTTAGTATCTGTTTTTCTTTTTTTTTTTTTTAGGATAAATCGAATTTTTCTCGCTGTTTTGCATGAAACGTAAATATAGTTCTCTTGGACAGTTGTATCTTTTAGACAGTTGATAATTTTGTTAGCGTTATTATGTCTGTTGTGCAAGCATGTTGTCGCGATCAGCGCAAAATGGGTCAAATGATCGATCAGATCAAAATGCTTAGTAGCAATTTGGACGAGTTACGTGCAGAGATTAACGCGTTGAAAACTAGTTATCTTGAAAGTAAAGAGAGTCTTTTACATGGAAATGACGTTAGAAAGAGTAGAGACAGCAAAATTAATGTTTTGCATAAAGTAAAGAAGTATATGAAAAAAGTGACAAACACATATTCGAGGAGGAAAGAACAGAAATCTGGCAGAAGTCAAAAGGTATACGATTTTTTATGTATTCAAGTATTTATTCGTTAAATTATATCGCTCGAAACAATTAGAAAATCGTGTTCCTAATTTATATTTAGCTAGTTTTGTTAATTTATCCTTAATCTACACATTCTACGCTATTTTTATGATTTTTAATTATTTAAAGTGTATTCTAAATAAAATCTTTGAATAGAAAAATAAATTTGACTTCAATTTCTTAAGCACATAAATAAAAAATTACAAAGAATGCTTATAACTATTTAATAGAAACGTGAACACTAACTTATAGTGTACAATAAACGTTATTAAATTCGTTTAATTTCGTACTAATCAAACAAACTGCTTGTTAAAATCTATTTTTCCAATTGTTTCGAGCTAATCACTTTCGGTAATTATTCACACATACACTAATTCGATATCTTGTGTCTTCTTATCAGGCCCACTATCCTTGTTCAAATCTAAACGGTCCACTGCCCTCGTTTTTAGATTACATCTTTCGTATTAAGAAAAAAGGAAGCGAGTGGCAGATACCCACTACAATGAAATACTTAAAAAATCAGGGCAACCAGACCAAGGAGAAATTTAAAGTCCAACAGTCTATGGTAAAAAGCACAACAGTATCGGCACCGGTAAAAACTATATATCGCGGATTGTCATTTACAAAATTGGCAAATGAACAATATAACAAAGCGATATTTCCAACTACTGTTCAAAAACACTCCGATATAAGCTGTGAATTAGATTTGAAAGTACAAAATCCAATGTCTCCGTCTAATTCCGAGAAAGGCGTATTTTTCAAAAATTATCCAAAGAATATCAATGTATCTTCGTTGAATAACAATAGTAAGCAGTCTGCAACGAAATCTACGCAAACGAAAATCGGAAAACCGAGACGGAAAGGTAGAAATCTGCATTTTCACTCGAAATATCCAAATCTTTATTTGTCCAAGATAAAGAACGCTGTGATTATGAAGAAGATTATAAGAAACACAAACGAGAGTATTTTCACAGTGTGTGAAAACATTGGTAACAGAAAAACTCATTTATATTCGCAGAAAGAAATTTGCAACCGTTGTTCGTGCAGAAAGCAAACAACTGATTTTGTTAATTCAATCGATCAAGAAACTAGCGAGCGAAACGTTTCTCTCGATAAAACTCTAGAAAAATTGAAAAATAACGAGACGTGTAAAAGTTTCTTATTCAACGAAGAACCAGATTTATCGTCTTCGTCGATCTCCGTGGATTTGGAAGTTAATATTTCTAATAGCAGCACTAAATTAGAAGACTTTCCGCAACGTAGGAAACCAAGAACATACGTAGTACGTAAAACAACCGCGAAACATAATCAAAATTGGCTGAATCACGTCGAAAGGAGTGTCATTTATCTAGGACAAACTTCCGACTTGACACTTTCTTCGTGTAACATTTCTAATCACAGTGTTTCTTTCAATTGAAAATTGAAGTACTCACAACATTCACATTTATTTCGTTAAACTTTCAATTTTTCAACAGGTATAGAATTACACGTGTGTTTCATTGCAACCAGGCTTCAATTTTTCATGACAAAGTTGCAATTTATTTAACAGTAAAAATCAAAATTTGTCGAATTAACGACAGTCTTTTTAAATCACATCGAGTAGATTACCCATACACGGTGCATTTATTTTGCCCTTTATAGCTGTTTCACAAGTGGGTTTTAAACATTTCGAGCCAAAGTTTCAAGTCCTTTTAACTGCTTAATTAATGTCAATTCGATTGTCTCGACGCCCGAAACATGTTTACTTCGACTTCTGATCGATTTTACGACCTCGCTACTTCATAATCCATATTATATCTACCTGTCCTTTCATCACTTACGTCGTTTACGAATAATCAGGCGCGTTTCTTCATAAAAATCGCTACCTGTCGCATTTTACAATTACAATTAACCAAACCAAGTGTCTTCCTCGCTTTAACAATTGCGTCGAAACATATGCTCTAAAACGAAAGATTCACTTAATCACGTCTAATTAAAGAAAGATAGAAAAGATGTGCAATACTGCTGCATTCCCTCAATAATAATAAATCGTGCATAGTATTTCAGTTCCCTTTAATTATTGCATTTGAATTCATAATTGAACATTAATCAATCAAATTGCATATATACGATTATTTGTATTATAGTTAGAAACGAGATTAAATCAATATGTTCATGTTCCCATCGTTTGCATAGTTTACGAATTATTTTTCACGACTGCAGTGGCTGCAGTCACAGTGTTCGCGGCGGGTTCGTGGCAATGAAAAATCGCCCTCGAAACCGCCACGAACCTTCCAAATACCCCTTCATCGGCATCGGTGTTTTTCTTGAAATTATGCACCGAATAACGATTGTAAAGTCCCCAGATGCTGTTCATCAGTTTGCTATTGTATTTCAACGGAGTCAGCTCCCAACCTACGAATTAAAGATAACTCTCAATTTTATGCTTAATTCTTCGTTAAACTTTCAACCGTTGCACTTTATCATCTTTACTTCTTTACTTCTTCTCTGCGCGTGCACGTATCTTTATGTGTACAATATATGCAATTACTTTTCTGCACAATTAAAAGGTTGCTTAATTTCATTGGAAATTCTACTGTTAATTTTCATTTTTTCAAACAGAAACCAACATATTTCTCTTATAGCCATTTTACCCAGAATCTTGAGAAACATTTAAGGAAATAAACAAAGTATACTAAAAATCTGACCGATAGATCTGCTAAATAAAATTTTGTTATTACTGTCATACTTTCAACGCAGATTTAAATTTATATTGACTGCTATGAGAAAATTTAGTGAATAATTAAACAGAATAGCACTTCGTTAAGTATAATTTCAAACATACCATAAAATGTATGGTTTCACTTAAAACCTATTTAGACCTATTAAGTAAATGTGAAAAGTAATTGCAAGTGTACACTTAAACCGAACATACTCTGTGCAATAATATTACATCAAAGAAGCATCTCTTCACAAACATATGATGCAACGGTCAAATGTGTCTTTCGATTAAACTATTAAAAGAATATCAATAATATATACTAATGTCATTTAACAGCAGGATGTAAGAATACCGTTCCTTACTCAACTATAATCGAGAAAACAAACGCAGAGTCCTGAAAAAAGAGCGCTGGTTTTCATTGTTTGTATATCTGATAAATACCTTCCAGTGGGGGTCTCATGTTAAATATGTTTTCTTTGCCCCCCTTTTCCCTCTCCTCCATCGGTCTTATCATAACGTTGCGTTCATGATTATTGCGGACTTTGCACGCTGCAAATACACCCTGCGGAATAGCTGCCATTCTTATACAATCTACAAAAATGAACAAGAACGCGTTAGATTTGAAAAATCTGCGCCTACTGTACTTCGTGTTAAACCGAAATCCATAGGTTTCTATCAAAATGACAATATTCAAATCTCTCTCGACGACAGAAATAATAGACAACGAACGAACCGCTACAATTTTCGAAAAGCAGCTCTGCTATTTCCTCTTTCACGCTTATCGTTGCCGCTTTCCCTTCGCAGACCTCAATTTTGGGAGGTTCGACCCCCTTGATCCTCCACAACTTTCGACTTTTCTTCAGTGCACCAAACTTCATGCAGCCGCGATCAAAACTCTTGAAATCGATCATAGACCGATCGAAATGTTCTGGATAAATCTCAATATTTCACGATGAAATGAGCACACTGCTTCTCTCTCCTTTATCTACGTTGCGTATCACAAATTTTTTTTTTCTGACTTTGTTAGGAACCAATGTTATACTAACTGAACGTAAGTACTAGTATTGGACTCGATTTATGAACTGGTGTAGTTGAGGCAAAGTGGGAGGAGACAGATTTGACGACCGAAAAAATGAGCAAAGAAAAAGAAAAAGATGTCTGTGACGAATAATGAGATACTAACGGCCTTCGAGACCGCAACGATTCCTTATCTACACGAAGACCTACCAGATTTAAAACAACGCATCGTGCCTTCTGACACATAGTATGTGACCTACATATATCGCTCAAATAAGAGAATCGTATTAATCGATGCAGTTTCTCGACTTTTCCCATACTTCATCCTGTTGTTGCGTAAAGTTTCAAATTCTACGAATTAGTAGGAAATAACAAAGTGTTATCTTTCAAACCTCAGTTTATGCGGTGTAATGAACTTCCTTATACGATAATTTACTTATTAAACCAATGACATTGTTTATTAAACCCTGACAATTTATTAGAAAAAATAGTTTAACGAAAATAATATTTTTAGTATTTGTAGCACCATGGAAATAGTTTAGTAGATAAAGAGAATAAAAGTAGTAATTCACAATACTTTATACCAATGTATATATATTAATCTTTTTCATAATCATGGGTCCAAACAGGTTTTCTCTTCTCAATGAAACTTCTGATTCCTTCCTGAGCATCTTTCATTTTTAAATTATTGACCATGTTTTCTGTTCCCAAGAAGTATGCAGTTGCTGTATCAAGATCCAGTTGCTCATACAAAAATGTTTTTCCAATATGCAAAACTGAACGACTTTTCATATTTATAGCTGTGGTGATTTTTTCAATTTCCTCTTCTAAACAGAAAATAATGCATTTGCTAGTATTTAATTATAAATTTACTACTGTTTTAATTGTCTACTTCATTTAAATTACCAAGTTTATCATTTGGCACAACTTTGCTTACAAGTCCTGCTTTATATGCTTCATTACCATTAATAGGAGAACCTGTAAAGAGCATATACATTGCTGTTTTTTTGGATACATTTCGAACTAAGGGAATACCTGGTGTAGAACAAAATATTCCAAGATTGGCCCTAAAAAGTAGAAATAATATATGTATACCTATCAACAAATGTACACTGATGAACACAGTTAATATAAATACCCTGGTGTAGAAAATGAACTCTTTTCAGTACAAATAGCAATATCACATGCAGTCACTAATTGACATCCTGCTGCAGTTGCTGTACCATCTACAGCAGCAATTATAGGAACAGGGCTTTGAGTAATTGTTCGCATTAACTCTGAGCAAGTTTCAAAGATTTCCTTGTGGTACTTCCCATTATTAGCAGTCTAAACGACGCAAGCCAATCATTCTGCTGTGACGAATGTAAATTCTTACATTAAAGAGACCCCCGTTACGTTTACTTTTTGGTCCATTTACCTACCAATTCTTTTAAATTATGTCCAGCAGAAAATATTTTTTCTAGCCCAGATCGAAGAACTATAGAACGAAAATTTTTATCATTTTCATCTTTTTTTATACTGGCCACTAGAGACTTCAACATTTCCAAGGATAAAGAATTTCGTGAAGGAGCATGATTTAATATCAATGTTCTTACCTATTTGTAAAAATACCAATACGTTAATAAAAGTGGAATGTATGTATAATTACGCAAAAGGCAACGTGAGAAATAGATATAAGTAATCAGAGAATTTCAAACGAATAAATAATTTATTGCTACTAGCGTTATATATTTAACGTGTTCCCATACTCCATTATTTTCCTTTATTTCTAGATATTTTTCCTCCAAATAGAATGTCCTACTAGTAGAAAATGTCCTTGTAAAATATTTTCCCATCTGTAACAAAACATTTTAAAAAGATTTCGTAATTCCCGCTAGATTTTAATCGTACGAGGTTATAAATCTTCGTAGGTATCACTGCTGACTATTTTAAGAACAGTAT